GGTATCGTACCACTGTTTTAAAGTAAAATTATTAACCCCACTCTTCCTTTATGAGAAATCACTACATACCACGATGCCACTCATCAAATATCAAACATAATGCCACTCATGAGGTTAGATAAAGTCACATTTCTCAAAATTGTGACTAAAGATTTTCATTAATGCAAATCCTACATAACTATATCAAATGAGACAACTTGTATTTTGGTAAATTCTAATTGCCTCACTATTTAGATTCTTGAATATATGTTGTAACTGCACAATATCAAGAAGAATTTACATATTTATACTTGTAAAATTTATGTAGTTCAACTTTTGTACAACTTTTTTAACTACCACAACTTCTAAAGTGTTTTTTCTATCATTTTTGTACAACTGTTTTAACCATCACAACTTCTTAAGTGTTTTATGTCATGTCTAGTCTTTTTCTTAATTAATCCAGTGATTTTTGGTCGTCATTATCTTCTCTGATTATTATAATATATTTTAATTAAAAACAAACTTTAATGGAGTTTTACAAAAATAATCAATTATGATTTTGCAATTTTTTGGAGTGGCATATGTGGATTTGCCATTTTCAAGGTGATGAAAATACAATTTAATATGTATTTTATCCGTTATGTTTGGGTTTAGTCGGTTTCTACTTGTTCTTAGGGTGTAGTATTTGTTATAAAGTACGTATTTTATAAATAAAGTTCTTCAATTACATTATTTTAGGGAAAAAGAACTTTAGTGAGTCCTCATATCTTATATACCTTGTGTCTCTCGTTTTGTTCACATTAGTAACAATGGATAGCTAATCTGTTTTGTATTGTTTTTTTTTTAACAAAACCAGATTCCAAAGATGCCACGTCAACCATCAAATCGTCTATAATGAAATTGCTTTCCGCATATTTTGTTGAGCGTGTCCCTTCTAAATGGTAACCGAGGAATCTGGCTGAATCCGGCTGAATTGCTGAATCTGGCTGAATGTTTAGTGATTTTTAGCTGAATCTGGCTGAATTTTTACATTTTCAAATGGTAACCGCTGAATCTAACTGAATTTTTTTGTGCTTTTCAGCGGAATCTGTCGAAATAATTAAGACTTTAACTGAAATATCGTCAAATAATTACGAATATTAATAGAATAACTAAAGAAAAATATCTAAATAAAATAGATAAAATTATCTAATAGTCTAATTAACTCTTATACCAATAAATAAATACTAGAATTAATACCTTTTTAGCAAAATTGAGTTGTTCTTCCAAATCTAATTTTTGAACTATTAAAAAGATATAATTAATTAATAGAAAGCTTTGTCAAAGTTTTATTGAAAAATTAATTTAAAAATAAACATGATAATATAGTATAGATTATCTTATTGATTTTTCATTGTTCTCTAGTAGTTTAAAGCCTTAATATGATTAGGATGATTAACAATTTTTTTTAATTTGATATTTTAAATATTATTTTAGCATAAGTATGAGTTATTTTTGCAAAAAATTGGAAAATTATATTTAAGTATCTAAAATTTATTAAATTATCTAAAATTATCTATAGATATCTGAACATAAATATGTCTCTTGTCTATTCTGGTAATGATTTTATGTGTATGAATTATTCATATATCGTATTTGTATGATCTAACTTATTTTAAAATATAAATTTGATGTGTAATTTTTAATAGCCAAAAATATTTTAATTCGAGTTGTGAATCGCTACAATCCAAATTTTTATCTGAAATGAACATACTATGTATCTGTTGATGTTGGAAAAACTGTTGAATCTGGCTGAATTTAGTTTAATGCAAATGGTAACTGCGGAATTGCTGAATCTGGCTGAATCTGGCTGAATATTTTTTTTATGTTACCATTTACACTCATGTACTCACCACGAAAATTATTAAAGAATCTCCTGAGTTTGTGGAGCAAGCGGTTCTCAGAGAAACAACTCCTACAGATCTAATCGGGTTTTCTTCTGATTTCAGCAAATTAGATCAGGAGTTTTATCGTGTTAATTATGCAGAATTCATCAAGTGCTTGAGACAAAAATTCATGGAAGAAAATAAGAGAGGCAACCTAGATTTTGACAAAATCATCACTCTAGCTCAAAAGGATAAGATGGAAGCGGTAATCACTGATAAACTTGGGGATGAGTCATGCAAGATTTTCAGATTTTTATCAAAGGAACAAACATTTCTTCAGGATTATGAGATCAAGTCTGCAATGGGGATTGGAAAAGATCTTCAAGATGATTTGATGACATTGTGGTGTGAAGGCTTTTTGACCATCCAGAAAGAGATGGTCACGACTGTCGACTTCCCTGTTCTCTATTGGAATATTGACTTTAGGAAGGTGAGAAGGAACGTCTATTATCTTGAGCAGCGTTTTACTAAAGAGATTTTCGTGGAGAAAAATATATGGCACGGGTATGAAAACTTTGTATCTCTTAAGTTCAAACTGCTCATATATATGTGCTTTATATGTGTGACGTTTGACTGAAATATTTGTGGGCTCAATTAAGATCACAAACCTTAGAGTTAAAAGCATTTATTTCCTAGCTGATCATGCTACAAGAGATCTTTTCCAAAATTTGGCTTATTATTGTCCCCTACATCTTTCAACTCACTCTCGTAAGTAAAAAAAGCTTGGTATATATGCCTAGGTTCATTCAAGATATGATGGTGGCTTCCTTATGTTCCTTTCCTGCATTTTTTAAAAATAATTTTGTTAAGAAAGTCTTCCCTTCATTTTTTTTGTTTAATTGTTTGTTTGGTTAAGAAAGTCTTTTCTTCATTTGCTTACACCGTTTAGATTACTTTAGTCATAGTCTCATAATCTCAACATCAACAATTTTACTGACAATCTTTGTTTGTTGTATATTTCCTCATGCTTGATATATATTTTTTGCGATTACATAAGTAATAGAAAATTTCTAAATATTATTAATTGAAAAGGATCACACCTAGCCACCATCATCATGCATTTTATAAAGAAAAACTTATAAACTAAAGCTAAATCGTTGGAAACCTATATTAAACAAACAGATGAAATAGAAAAACCTACCTATAGATCAGAATCAAATTTCAGATATATATATTATATTAAACGTCTAGATTCACTCACTATAATCTCTCGGTGCTTCAATTGAAACAATGGCTGGAAAGGCACTTTCTGGGGATAAATAGGCTGGAATGCCACTCTTCTATTTTATTTTTATTATACGAATTAAATGTAAAGAGATTTAAATCGAGTATTATGAAAAGACCAAAAAACCAAGTCAATATCCAACGTTAGACCCGTTTCTATATATTTGATCCAAGCCCAATTTTTGAAACTGATTATTGCGATCGAAAGCCCATCCCACCAAGCCCAACAGAGAGATAAGACAAAACAAAAAAACGAAACGGTAACTGTTTCGTTTTCCTTTTCTCTCATTCCCGACTCTTCTTCTCCGAAAAAAGAGAAAAACCCTAACTTTTCCGATTTAACATATTCTTCTCCAATTTCTCTCCAATTTCTTCGATTTCTTCTCGTTTATCTCTGTCGCAGTCGACATTTTGCACCGCCGTTGAAATTCTGGGGAATTTTGGTATGGCTCGTGTTAAAGACGCCTTAGGTGAATATGAATCTACGGCGGCGCATCCGATAGAACCAGTAGATTCAAGTACCGTGGTCGACCCTACAGAAGAAACCGGAGATCCAAGAGAACCAGAAGATGCTGAACCTGGAAGTGAAACCGTCGGGATGCAAACTGATCCGACAGAGGAAGCAGCAGTTGATGCTTCCGAGAGTCAACCTGGAAACAAAACCGTCGAGTTGGAAAGGGATGATGCTGAAGGACAAGTAGCAGTTGATGATTCCGATATTCAACTTGGAAAAGAGAGTCCGATAGAACCGAGTACTGAAGCAGTAGAGGCTGCAGAGAAGGAACTCGTTGATGCATCAGAGGAAGAGGAAGAGACCGTTACTGCTCAGGTATAATGGTATTCAAGGTACAACTAGTTCAACTAGTGAATTAGGTTGTCTTTGAATATAAGTATATATACTTTTCATGCTGGTTCTTGGTATAATTGAATCGGAGAATATATAGGTTTGAATTTATGTGTCTTGATATAACTAGTTCAACCTCTCCCGATTATATATTTGTTTGAATTGTGTGTTTTGATATAAGTAGTTTAACAACTTAAACTTAGCGATTGGGTTTTGAATATGCAGGATACATATGAGGAAGAGGATGATGCTGCTGGTGAAGAGGATGAGCATGGTGATGTTGGTACTGGTAAAGATGGTATAGAGGCTGAAGAGGATGTTGGTATAGAGGAGGAGGCTGCTGCTAAAGATGGTATAGAGGAGGAGGCTGCTGAAGCTAGTAAGGACATTTCTGTTATAACAGCTGATGATGATTCTGGTAATGATGATGATGAAGATGATTCCCAGCCACTGCCGCCAGAGAATATGTGCTTAGATAGTTCAGAATACACCAAAGGGTGTAAAATAGGAACTAGGTGTAATGTGACTGAGACATTGAATTTGATAGAGAGAGAGTTTAAAGACGAGGCAATATGGATTACAAGTCACTCTCAGTTCAAGCATGTATTCCACATGCCTAGGGAGCCAAACCACATGACTCAAGGCATGTGGATGCTTATGCTGCGCACAGTTGACACAGATCTTGAGAGGGAGTGCTGGTTTGTGGTTAATAGAGTACCTATTAGGTACTCCATCAAAGAGCATGCGTTGCTAACTGGGTTTAATTGCTAGGAATACCCGGAGAAGCATGAGGAAATGGGGAATTTGAAGTTTGTGAAGAGAATCTTCAAAAGGACTGAGAAGATAAAGACATCTGATATATTAGTTAAGTTGAAGGAGAAGAAGAGTTGGAAAGGAGCTGATAAGAAGAAGTTAGTACTCTTGTATTTCCTATGCAAGGTACTAAAAGCAAGCTCAAAAAGTGATGGAAACATAGAATCATTTCTCTTAAGGATTGTTGATGATTTGGATGCATGTGAGACATATCCATGGGACAGGTATTCATTCTCAGAATGTATGAAAGGGATCAGGAATATGATGAAGAATTTGAATGGGTCTGTCAAACCTAAAGCTCAACCTAGCTTTAGTGGATTCATTGTACCTCTGGAGGTAATCCTTTGTTTTTGATGTCTGAGTATTTGAAGTTGTATATATGGTTTTATGATATTAACTGTGTGTTTTTTTGTAGATTCTGGCTTATGAGTCTATTCCACATCTTGGACTGAAATATAGAGTACTTGTACGTGCAGCAAATGACTGTCCAAGGATGTGCAAGCACAAGTTTAAAGAATCTGCCATGAAAGGTATCCCTTTGGAAGAAATATATCAAGAGCTTGGGACTAGCAAGGTTAGAGTTTCTGTCTTCATTTGATTATTTGGTTTGTGTCATGTATTTGATAAAGAGTTTAAGTTAAATGTATGTATGTGTATTCACAGGATATTGAGAGCATCTTGGTACCAGACCAATATGAGAAATCTCTGTTGGCTGGAATCATTGAAGATAATGTTGATGATGGCCTAGGGCAGATTGATATCATTGTTGACAGTTGGAGAGAGCGTCTAGTAGAAAAGAAGAAAAAGATATGGTGGGAAGGAATGTACCAGCTGGACCAGGCGTCCCGAGAGATTGGTAATAAGTTTCTTGAGAATGAAGACCCTGAGCAAGAACCCCCTGAGCAAGAAGTCCCTGAGAAAGAGAGTTCTGATATTGCTAAAGTTGTTGCATCTCTTGCCTCACTAACAGAGGTGGTGAACAATGGCTTTCATGCCATTGAGGAGAAGTTTAGGGACATGGAGATTAGAGTGAAGACTCTTGAAGTGTCTGTGGCAGCTCAGGGATATCATAGTCCGGTGTTTCCGCCATATGGGTCGCCTCTGGAAACATAATATAGGACAAGAACTGATTTTGAGGGTGGGCAGCCGAGTCAAACCATGGAATTAGTTTTGTATAATCTCATTTCTCCAACTGTTCCGGAACAAGGTGAGTGTAGAAGTTTCTTGGTTATTTATTGAACTTTTAAAGTGGACTAATAAACTGTTTTCTTTGTACATTGTATGAAGGTGATGAGGAGGAGGAAAAGAATGAGGATGAGAAAAAGAATGAGGAAGAGATGAAAGGAAAAGAGAAGAAGAAGGGCAAGAAGACAAAGAAGAAGAAGCAGCAAGAGGGTGGACCTGTAATAGCAACCGGACAGAAGCGAACAAGGGCAGCTTCCCAACATATTAAGACACCATTTGTGGAAGTGCAGCCGAAGAGAAGGAGAAAGAAGTAATGATTGTCTGGTGTTGTTGTCTGGTGGGAAAAACCTTAACATTATTTTGTTTTTTGAACAAGTTTGTGTTTGGTACTATTAGGATTATTTTGTTAAATACTTAATATTATATTTTGGTAATTTGAAACTATTTAAGTGATAGTACAAAGTATTAGGTACAAGTGTGTATGGTACAACTAGGTATTCATGGTACAACTGTCTGGTATACATGGTACAACTGCCTGGTATTCACGGTACAACTGCCTGGTATACATGGTACAACTTCTTAGGTATTCCTGGTACAACTGTCTGGTATACATGGTACACTGCCTGGTATACGTGGTACAACTGCCTGGTACAACTACCTGGTATACATGGTACAACTTCCTAGGTATTCCTGGTACAACTGTCTGGTATACATGGTACAACTGCCTGGTATAAATGGTACAACTGCCTGGTACAACTACCTGGTATTCACGGTACAACTGTCTGGTATTCACGGTACAGCTGTTTGTGAATTTGGTGAAAACATAGACCAAATCAATAGAATAAAACATACAATTTTTGAAACGTTTAGGCAATTTTAGTTAATTAGTCTACATAGGGAAATGAGAAACTTTAGAAGTCTACCAATATTAAGAGAAATACATAATCATACAACAACTACCACTTAGCTAGCAAATCCCTCAGCTTGCTAATCTCCGTTTCTTTCTCCTCCAAACGCTTCTCAAGATCATCGAGTTGAGCACGCATAATTCGAACAGACTCGCGAAGTGACTCCAACATTGGATTTTGGTAAGCGTGGTGGATTTTCTTTCTGGGTTTCAAATTTGTTATGCACAACACTAAACTTCTCATTAACCGCATCATCCCACCACTTTTGAAGGTGTTCTCCACCATCCTAAGCATAAGCATCAATCATCAATCATAAGAAAAACGAATTCATCATCAACAATAATTACAAAAAATTCATCATACCTCATAATTTGGACATTTGTATTTCTTTTTTCCTTGATTATTGCCAGTGGTACACACAACAAGCTTAACGTAGGTTCCATAGAAACACTATCTCGGAATACCCCAATTACCGTCAGCTCTTGCCCAACTCATATCCTCACTCGGTTCCGATTCTGAACTTTGAGTATAGCAGATCGGCATTGTCACTGCAGAAAATCAAGATGAATCTGAAATTTATGAATCCGAATCGACTAACCCTATATCTATGAATTACAAATAAAAAAACGGACTAGGAATTAGAAATCAAATAAGAAAACCCTAGATCTATGATTTAGAAATCAAATAAGAAAACCCTAGATCTAGGAATTAGAAATCAATTAAGAAAACCCTAGATCTATGATTTAGAAATCAAATAAGAAAACCCTAGATCTAGAAATTAGAAATCAATTAACCACCAACCTTGTTAGAAAGCAGTTGTTCGCCGGAATGTACGCTCTCGCCGCCGGAAATTTTAGAAAAAAAAAGCTCTGGGTTTTCTTCGCAAATGAAAGAGAGAGAGAGGCTCGAGAGTTAAAGTAAGAGAGAGAAGATATTTAAGGTAAGAGAAGACTTCGAAAACCCTAGATCTATCTTCCTTTTCTTTTTTAAAAAATATTTAAAAACAAAAATTCTTTTAATAAAAAATGAGTTTGGCGGCTGTACTTATTTAATAGTGGGACCCATGATGGCTGAATATACTCATAGTTGTCCAGTTGTACTACGAGCAACATAGTTGGACTTTTAACACTTTTTCTTGTTTGCAATTGGACTAGTATTTAAATAATTAAATATAAGTTGGATAACTGATTTCTCTGAATTATTTGGCATATCCAAGGTTTACATAATATTATACTTACCAAATAATTGTTTTCACATCTTTCACTATGATTTAGGTTATCTTATAGTAAGTATCCCTTATACTAGAAGGGGTTGTTTGTGTGAGAACATCATTTTCCTTAGATTTTTGTAAAAGTTGTATTCAAATGTTTAAATTTTCTTTAAAAGTTAATTATATTATGATTATATAATATAATTATTCTTTTATTTCATTATTTTTATAAAAATTGTTGTTTTATAATACTATCGTAGCTGTACAAGTTGTACAAGTTGAACCAGTTCAATAGTTAATGCAAAACTTATGGAACATATTGAAACTTACTTGTAATAGCTGAACTCAGTATATAAACGAATACAAATACAACTTAAAACAAACATACATATTCTTAGCTGAACTCAGTTGAACCAGCTGAATTGTTAATGCACAAATGAGACACAGACATGTTCTTAGCTGAACCCAGTTGAACTAGCTGAATTGTTAATGCACATGCGAGAAATACAAGTAAAACATAGAAACTCAAGTTAACCATTCTCATCATTGGGAGGGGGCTGCAACCAACTCTCCAAGTTAATGCCAGGCCGTGCCTTGTTTTGGGTCCTCTTTCGTCGCTTTTCCCCGGTGGATGGAAACCGGGTTTCTTGATTTCTACCTTTCTTGGTTTGTAATCCGGCGGTTTTGTGATCTTCTCCTCGTAGTCAGCTGGGAAAGTCCATTGAGACTCATGCGGCACAACGTAAATCGTTTTGTAATATGCCAATGCCCACGTCTCGATCAAGTAATATGTCAAACAAAGACCATATACGCTTACTTCCGTTGTTCTCCATTCATTCCGACAATGCTTAATGGCTGCGGCTATACCATGGATGCAAGGGTCCTTGTCTATATCAAAACACCTACAAGTACAAGATTTCATATCCAAGTCCACCAAATATGTTAAACCATCAACTCCAATTACGCTATATTCGCGTCGGTAGCTGTTAAGCTCAGTGACCATCAACTTCGCAGCTATAGGACATCGGATATCTAATATATTCTCCACATCATGCACCACCTGCGTTGTGTTCGATGCATTGGCAGAATCTTTTCGATGTTTGTTGAACCATTCGGAAAACTTCTCCAATATCGCATCAATCATCGGTAATAGATGGTACTTCCTTAAACACAACATTCATTGACTCTGCGGAGTTGCTAGTATCTATGTTGTACTTGTCTCCCTCAGCATGACTCCTAGCCCATTTTTCAACCCCAATAGAATTATCCAGATATTCAGCAGCTCTAGGATACCTTCTCCTAAAATCACCATACTGAATGTTGAACTCGGTCTTAGTATATACATGAGCGCATTCCTTGAATTTTTCAACACCTATGTCCTTGTCCCCAGTCAAATTTGGCCTAAGGTTTTGGGACAAATGTCATATACAATGACCATGTGATGCGTTTGGAAACACATCCATCACTCCCTTGATGATGCTTTGATGTCTGTCGCTTATGAAAACTAAACCATCTTCATCTGGTACTACCTTTCTCAACATTCCAAAAAACCAATTCCAACTAGCATGATTCTCACTATCAATTACACCAAACGCAATGGGGTAATGGTGACGATTAGGATCCTGAGCTGTTGCAATAACTAACATCCCACCATATACAGTTTTTAGAAAAGTTGCATCAATCACTAACACTTTCTTCATTACCTTAAAACCTTCAATGCTTGCTCCTAAAGCGATAAATAAGTACTTGAACCTCTCTTCTGCATCCAATTCCACTTCCGTTACTGTCCCAGGATTCACCTCTCTCAACATGTGGAGATAAGCATACAACATTGTGTAGCAAACTTCAGGGTTCCCACGCATATCACTAACATGTTGTTTTTTCCCTCTCAAGGCGGTGGAGTAGGAACAATCCAAACCAAGTCTTCCTTTAACAAGAGTCATGATGGTTTTAGGATCCGGTGTTTTCAATTGACCACGGAAGTCGCCATGCAAAACACTTGCTACTAATCGTGGTGTGCCTTTTTGTTTAAAATATCTAGTACTCTCCTCACACCTAGAGCATGTATGCATGTTTTTGTGAACTCTTACACTCCAAAAATCAGATTTCTTTATTCTAGCAACTCTTAAATACCATTCACAACCCATGAAAGCTTGACTGCATTCAATCATAAGTTGCACCGGGTCCGACTTCACATATCTCACACCAAACAACTCGGCCTTTGCAGCTCTATTAACCAAATCCCATACTGCCTCCTTAGAAGGAAATTCTTGATCTTTTTCCAAAACCAAACCATCTTCCCATTCTTTAACTGTTTCCTCACTTGGTTGTAAAGGTCGTGAAAGCTCAACATATTCATGCCTAACATCATTCTCACAATCTTCATTTACACCATTCTCTATCATGAGCTGTTCAATAATCGGTTCATTAACTATAGCAGGCTCTTTCTCTTGTTCTGATCCTTCACCCCATCTAAAAGTACTCAAGTTTGCTTGATTATTTACATCATCAGTCTTTACATCATCAGCCCTTACATCATTGGCAACCACTTCCCCATAATATAAACCGCATGAACTTCTTCTCTCTACTCTTGGTACTAGCTCCACCATCTGATTACTTTCAAGATTGCATAACTCCACATGCAAAACTGGTCTAAATCCCTCTTTATCCAATGATGTTAAGAATATACAAACATTCTCATCATCTAAAATATAAGACTCTCTCCCTCATTTACATATCATGTAACTCAATTTCATCTTCCTTCTCTCTCCGTCTATAGCAATCTTCTTACAGATCTTATCTACTAACACCGGATATGTTATTCTCTCCAAAGATGTTGTCTTAAACATTATAGCATATAGTGAATTGTTGCAATTCCACTCATGCTCTTCTGAATAGTACCCTCCATAGTCAAAATATATGTTTGTGTGGATCTTCTTCTTCATCACACTGCAGATAGAACAAAATAAATCACTAATTTCGATACAGCACTTGTAACAGTTATACCAATTGTACCAGTCGAACTACACTATCATATATGTACCAGTTGTATTATTCAATTTCAGTTGTACCATTACCTTCTGCAACAAACGATACAAAGGAGGAGCTACATTCTAATTTCCCTCAGATTCAACACGATTGAACTCATAAATCCTACTATCTAGAGATTTCTACATCTACCATTGCCAAACTCTACCATTGCAAATACCTACACTTCTAAGAACTTACTTGCTTCAATCGAGATCCAAGAATGGAGGGGAAGAAAGAAGACGCTGCGACGGAGGTGGCGACAGCCGGCGAAATGGATGACTCAACCAAAACAGAGGAGGAGCGTTTCGGGAGTAGACGAGCTGAAAAGTAACAATGGCGGAGAAAAGTAAAGCTGTTGCGCCAGAAATGTCAGTCACTTTCTCGAGCTCTCAGCTCCGGGGAGAAGCTTCAACAATGTCGGGGGAGAGATGACACAGATGCTCTTCGAGATTGGATCGAGAATTCATTTCTCGATTTCAATTTTTCTTTTTCCCTTTTTAAAATTAATTCAATTAAAGGATATTCAATTCATTAAGGGTAAAAATGTATTATCCTATTGAGAGGTGGCATGCAGACTCCAAAATGGCAGGCGTGATTACAATTTCCGGTTCAGTGGCAAACGAGCCTCTGCCTCGCTTCAATTAGCAAAAGGAGGCTGGCACGCTGCCGTTTTCATCATATCGGTAACACTCTCACTGATTTGGATACATTTTCTTTCAAATTTCGAACGATCATTTCAATGTACCTAAGTAATTTCTGTCGAGTCTTTAGAGAAGTTGATACTCTACATGTATGTGATTAATTCATTAATCTTTGCAGTTGTGGAGATGGCCGAGACATTTGCGTTCTACGGTCGTGCAAGCAACCTAATAACGTTTCTATCAAACGAGCTTGGCCAGTCCACGACCACCGCAGCCAAAACACATCAACACATGGATCGGTGTTTCTTGCATGTTCCCCATTCTCGGGACGTTTCTAGCCGACTCTATCCTAGGCCGCTTCAAAACCGTTCTCTTGACTTCTTTCATCTATCTCTTGGTCTATATATCGTTACCAAGCATAAACCTTGACTCATTTTTCAAGATCTCAAACTGAAACTAGGACTAGTCGGTGATGGTATTGTATGTGATGGCGGTTGGAGAAGGAGGGCATAAACCATGCGTCACGACCTTCGCAGCTGACCTGTTTGGAGAGGCCAATCCGGAAGAGATTAAAGCATCAAAGACATCTTTCTCTTCAATTATTGGTATATGGCCATCGTCCTCGCTTCTTCCGTAGCTGTTCTTCCCTCATCTTCATTCAGGTCTTTTACTTTTCAATTTTCTCTTAACATTAACTATATTTTTGTTGGTGTAGGAGAATTAGCTTTAGTAAGATATATATTCATATGCTGGTTTCAATAATTAATCACGTTAGCGTTAATGAATCAATGAGACAGAACTGAAACAAACTTTGAAACGCGTGTTGATACCTACTGGTTCCTGTAAGCTTCGAAATTGAACTCTGAAAAATGTTGATTTTGAGATTCACAAATTCACAAAATCCAAATTCACTGACACAGAACTTACGAAACAAAAAACTAGTAGCGAGGCAAAATTGATTTCAAGAACAGAGAATGTTGGAGAGTTTTCACTCACAAAGACTAACAGAGACAAAGAGAGATCATCAACTCTACAAGATCAATATCGCATCCATTACGTGTGCCACGTTGAAACAACAAATCAACAAGTGTGTATATGGACGCTTTTTTCACTTGAAATACAAAATGCGTTATCTTTGAATATCTTAGCTAGTAACAAAGTCAATGGACCCTAATGTTCCAACTTCCTCCTTACACTAATCTACAACATACAAGAAGTTATGAAACTTATTGTTGCCAAATTTACAAATTCTTCTAGTTTGGCCAAAAAATCAAACCATCCCTAGCCACTGCAACATTATTCTTTTCAACACAAATGTCTACTCAAGATTGCATCAAAACCATAAAAAGCAAACATTTCAACAAGAACGGCAAGAGAAGACAAGGCAATGTATAGCTTAATCAATCGATCTCAACAAATCAAAACGAATATGAGATATATAATCAAAATTGTAGAATAAACAGAAATTTTCACCATCAAGAAACTCTGTTTCGACGACACAAAATCTGATAATTCGAAGATTAAAAACAATAAACAACATGAATCTAGAGATCGTTACACACAACAAAATAAATGGTAATTACCTAATGAACAGATCAAGTTAGAGTTTTAAGATAGATTAATACCCTAATTAACTTGGCTTAATAGAGAACTAACTAAAACAGGGGCCATTCGAATTCTTCTTCTTCGCTTAAGAATTCACTGATATCGATCATAAACTCGTCTTCTTCGTTGGTTGAGGATCGATCTTGAAGAGGAACCTCAAGGTTGTTGTCGTTAAGAAGACCAAACACGTTGTCCTCATCTTTAAGTAGGTTTTCCCAAAAGCTCTGATCTTCAATGAGCATCGATTGTGTTTGTGTTTCTTGGGCTACACTCATTCCGTTATTCTCCTCCCCTGTTTCACATAAGCAGTTAACAAATCCAGGATCTTCATTCACCAAGTAACGAGATTGATCACATAATGACTCGCCAACAGAGAAGATAGGGTTTTGATCATAACAAGTAACTTGTGACGAAGGCTCGCCACATAACTTGTCAAGGGAGGAGTAAGAGTTCTGATCAAAAGAAACAATGTGTGAGGAATACGGAGAAGAGGTGCTAGGGTTTTGACCTAAATCAGAAGCAATTTGAGAAGAAGAAGAAGAAGAAGAAGACCCACCATTATTGAATATCTCGTCGGTGTTAGGGTTTTGATCGGATTTCGAAAGAAATTGTGATTTTTCTTTCTTCTCAAGACAATCCAACAGATGCTTCTTCGTTCTCATCATACGATCTTCAATGATACTTAACTCAGAGAGATCGTCACAATAAAGGTAGAGATCAGGGTCTTCCCACCAAAACCCTAACTTGGATTGAGGGTTAATAATATTGGGAGGAGACTTGGCGTTGAGGTAACAATCAACAATTTCAGAGGCAGGAGAGTAGCCGGAGAAGGAGTAAACAATGTCGGAGTTCTCGTCCGGAGAGGTTACGAAGACGGCGATGTTGGCTCCGGAGAGAAGACAAAGATCAGCGGCTTTGGAGAAGAGTGTAGGACGGCGTTTGCTGCAAGCCACCGATCGTTGTTGTTTAGTGAAGCGTTTCTGAATTTCAATCTTTCTCTTTGTTCCTCTTTTCCTCATCGTGCAGTCAGATACCTTCGACGGCATTATTAGGGTTTTTTCCATTTTTCTTACAGAGAAAATAAGAGAGATAATGGAAACGTGAAAAGAGAGAGAAAGAGTGAAAAAAGAGTAGAGGCAAGGCACAACATATATAGAGATTACAAATCCTAATGTCTTTTCCTTTTTTACTATGTCTTTTCCTTTTTTTTCTTCTCCTCCTCCTCATATGCGTATGTTCGTAATTTCGTATGGTTTTGTTTGTATACACTTATTTATTAATTTTTTAACATCTTACTTTACTTTATTAAAATTGAAACAGAGATACATAGTTATTTCTTAGACATACACATATAATCAAGAAATGATTAACGTTTAAGAAGAAAATACAATCGAACAAGTGAATTAAACGCCGCTTTCTTTCATAAGCCTTACACGCTAATAGATTATCAAATCTATTATCTTCCTTATTCGTCTTCTTCCTTAATCCGACATGATCATCTTGTTTGGCTATCGTCTTTTTGACGAAACTCCAATAAACTTTAAAACGATCATTGGTTGCGATCCATCTGTTACATCGCTTCCCATTAAAACATCTCCAACAATAAGAGATGACATCTTTCTTGGTTATAGCTTGTGCCCATAATTGTTGAAATGGTGAGTACCATCTTCTGAATCTCGTTCCATGTAGACATCCCCAAAGGCCCGCGTCGAAATTAACGATTGTTGAGCGTTCATATTTCTTGATCAATAATGATATCCTCGGCAAAAATTTACCGAGGTATACTCGTAACATCAAAGACAACATGATCTCTCTCCACCATATCCTTAGACACTGCCTCGAACTGTTGCTATGAACCGGTGTATGCATGAAACACCTCTCTAATTCGCCTTCACTGTCAATCCCAATAAAGTATTGGGAATGTCGGTCATCATGGAGAGTTGATAAACTCTTCACAGAGATCACATGCTTCATTGATTTCCATGGTGGTTTCCATGGCGGTTGTTTCCACAATAATGCAGTCAAAATTTCATCATGAAACTGGACCGATAAATCACAGCCGTTTGAAAATGAATCAAACGGAGAGTAGCCGCCGAAGACCGTCGGAAGAAAACCATCGATAATTGTGATCATCCACACATAATCAATCGGAAGAACATTCAAATCTCCTTTAGGGAAATTGAGAGAAATCATCGCCTGATCCGTTGAAAGAGAGGCGTCGCCAAAGACATCGCGGGCAAAGGAAAATGAACCATTACCAGCGGATGAAAAAGTTTCAAAGTGAAAGAGAGAGCAACTGAAAAGCCAAATTATTGTTCCGCTCACCAATCCCCAAACTGAATCACCATCAGCAATTACAAGCGAAAATTCGCCAGATTTTGATGAGCCATTGAGAATCAGAAAATGAGTAAGAACCATAACCGCCGCGACGAGAAGACATACTTGAGATAAAGAACGGTTACGGTGGATTGAGACGAGGAACAAAGAGAGAAGAGTAAAAGAAACTCCAGAAATTATCATCATCACTGAATTCACGGGCAAAATATTTGAAGCAATTGAATCTCCCTCGGATTCATCGAAAGCAAGACAAATCGCTTTTTCAGTCGCCAGAGAGAGAACCCACACTTATTTATTTAAACAAGTAAAAATCTCTTTTTTTAAAAAAAATAGCTACTGAAATTCAGGTGAAAATTTTATAAATAGATGTGTTGTATATATATACTTAAAATGATGATATAAATTATATGAAATACTTTTTTCTGACAAATATTGTCATATAGATTAACTGTTTCGTTAACTTTGCTGTTGAATTGGGGATTGTTTTTCTTTCTCTGGGATCAAAATTCAAAATGATGATATAAATAAGATTGTCATGTGTATTCTGGAATTTTTTTTTGTAGGAATGAACATTATTTTAAAGTTTCAAGTGCATGTACGTAAACTACTTCTAAAACTTTTCTGAGATTTTTTCCATAAAATATATTAATATCAAACTATATATGTTGATACAAACTCTTTTAATTAACTAAAGCCAAAGATTTTTTTCTCCAAAATACGATACCAGTCTTTCAATATCTGAGTGTATTTTTGTTTTTGTTTTTGTTTTTTTTTCATATTTTCAGATTTTAAAAATAAATAAATAAATTTTAAAACATAATAGAAGTTAAAATGTAAATTTCTTATATTGTGAGACCAATAATGGGTTTTTCTGGTTGCAGAGCAAATTTGTTCTTCCCTGCGTCACTACGACTAAAAAACGATATCACTATGCATTAAATTACTTTGGCATAAAAAAAAGTGACCCCTCTAGAACGATGAACTAGAGAAGTGTATTAGGCCTGGGCTTTCGGTTAACCGTTCGGTTATCGGTTGGGTCCATTCGGTTTCGGTTCTTTCGGTTTCAAAATTTAGTATTCATTCGGATATTTTAAAATTTCGGTTCGGTTTCCGTTCGGTTCCGGTTCTTTCGGTTTTAAAATTTAGTATCCATTCGGTTATTTTGCTTAGGATAGTTTCGGATATTTCGGTTATTTTTGAGTATTTTCGGATATTTTTGGATATATTTCGGTTATTTTTGAGTATTTTTTACTATTTTTATATATTTTTCAAGTATTTTTGATTATTTGGTCTATAAATAACTAATTATTTTGAAAATATAATTGTACTTCGGGTATTTCGGTTACCCAAAATATTTCAGTTACCCAAAATATTTCGGTTCGGTACCGATTCGGTTACGGTTATTTCGGTTATAGAATTTAGTATCCATTCGGTTATTTTCAAATTTTCGGTTCGGTTCGGTTCGGTTTTTTTTGCTTCGGTTTCGGTTCGGTACATTCGGTTCGGTTTATTTGCCCAGGCCTAAGTGTATATATCTAAATGCATTTTTAACAAGAATTTGAGGTAAATCTCAGAATTTTAACAAGAAATTGAGGTAAATCTCAGAAACATAGAAATGTTGCGGAGTTTTTACTCGCAGTGACTAACTTAGAGAAAGAGAGATCATCAACTCTACAAGATCAATTTCGGATCCATTACGTGTGCCACATTGAAACAAAAAATCAACAAGGTGTGTATATGGACGCCTTTTTCACTCGAACTAAAAATTTCATTTTCTAGTCTCATCATCAATTTCCAGCAACCAAGTCAATGGACCATACAAGAAGTTATGACTCTACCACATTCAAGAAGTTCCCCAATTGTATTTTTCCCAAATTTATAATCAACTCAACTGGATTTCGTCAATCAAATCACACAACCACATAAGACAGCATTGAGATTCTGCTCTGTTGGCCAAAATGCCATATCATTTCTAGCCACTGTAACATTTGTTGTTTTCTACACAAATATGGACTCAAGATTGCATTAAATTAATACATACATTTTCAATAAGATGGGCAAGAAAAGAGCATCTAATCACTATTATTCAGATCTATCTGTATACTCCATCACATGACGAAAACGAAGAAAGAAAGAACTCGATACCTTTTGGACCGGTTCTCTAGGATGTTATTCCATTAGTGATGTTGTATCAAACTTGAAAGGTGCATTAGTGATACTCATAAGTTGGAATAACGCATTCACAACACTCAGATGCAAAGATAATGCATTCACTTTGCATTCTTATCCGAGTTAAAGTCTTAAAGATAAAGAACAAGAAGGGAATGGTTCAGACTCTAAACCATTAACAAACCTAAACCAAACATATACTTGTCTAGAATCGATGATTGGATTTGCCCGACTACTCGACCATAGTCCTTGTTCGACTGAATCATGTGAAGTAAGGATGGCTACAATTCTTTCAATTAATCGATAATTTGAGAAGAATGGAAGCAAAAAATTAAAAATAAATTCAGATTAATGGAGAATTCCAGAAGATTTGAATCAAGAAGGATGGAGATGAACGAAACTTCGGACAACCCGCAAACCCGCGACCCGCATAGGACAAAATCCGTTTGACCCGCAAACCGTATGGGTCTAGACCGCGATACGTAGAGTTTTAGCTTGGAGAACAAATAGTATAGAATTTTTTAGAATATCCTAATGGATCTATAATAGGCATCTACATAATAACCCATTATTCATAACAATTCGATACTCGCTCTTTTATGGGCATCCATTTAAGGGCCCAAGCCCGCCCTGCTAAGTGACATATTAGGCCAGGCCCGCGGGTTAGAGGCCCGATTGACATCCCTATCTGTAGACAATCAACACACAACTAAAAACAGAAAACACCTACCTAATGGGCCACGATTATGGGCCCATATAAACCAACCCAACACAACGAGAAAGCTGCAAAGTTTACATATTTGACCTAATGAGAAGATATGGCCGGCCTTGTTCCTCTCTCTAACGTCCTCCGGGTGATGATCTAAAGGCACACCGCACACGCACACGTAACTGCGATTTGTTTGCCCAAATTTTGGATTTTTTTTAGGGTTAAAAAGGGTTTGAACGATAATGGCGACGAAAGAGGCTGAAACATGGATATTTTGGGATATAAGTTCTTGTCCGGTTTCTTCCTCAGATGTTGCTAGTAGGGTTGGCCCGTGTATAAAACGAGCGTTGAAGAATTTAGGCTACTCTGGTTGTATCACCCTCACTGCAATTGGCATACTAACAGACATCGATACCGACGTCCTGCAGGCTGTCTATTCCTCTGGAGTCTCTCTTACTCACGTCAGTTCCGGTTAGTTTATCACTTGTGTCTTTCTTTCTACATAGAGAAAGAGTCTTAATTATTTATTTTCTGAAACAGAACGCTTAGGGATTACTCTTGAACTGATGTGGTGGATAAAAGAACATCCAATTCCTGTTAATTTCATGCTCATATCCGGTGATGAGATCTTCCGTCGGAATCATAGGTTCTTCGAAGAGGCAGGACACACTGTTATTCAGAACTTTCCATTTGATCAACAAGACGTAGACTCCACTCCTGTACCGTCCCGCGTCTGGGAAAACTTTCTGGCAAGCTTAAGGCCAGGTAGGTGTTTGTCTTCCTTCTCTTAATAAAGTTGTTGTTGTTTCTGAACTAATCAGTTACTTTTTCCATAGATGCAATTGAGTCAGGGGTACTTGAGAAGGAGCCGGGTTTGGTTTGCGGACAATGTTGTCTTCCTGACCAACAAGGCTTTGAAAATTTCATCAAGCATCTCAAAACTCATGTTCATGTAACCATTTGATTCAACAACCTCCTTTCTTACGTCTAGTTTTGGACCCCCATGCTAAATTTTTCCACTTAGATGTGCATATTTTTTGTTAATCAGGTTTCCCCTGAATCATCTCCTCGGATGATGAAGAGGAAGCAACCAGAGGCAAGTTTTAGTATCTTTGGAGAGATTCCTAATGTGAAATAGAATGCATTATTTTGATTTGCTGACTTAATTTGGTTGATGCTAAAACATTGTAGGGAGAGAGTGCATGACCCCTCCCCCAAAACAAGAAACATGACTACGAAGAAGAGTACATGTCCCCTCCCCGTTGTTGTTCTTCTCTCTAGAGCATTTCCATTCTCTGTTCTCAGTAGGAAATACTTGTGCTTATTTGCAAGCCTCGTTTATTAAAATTCATTATTGTTTACTAAAAAGAGAGCAAAAATGTTCCAAAGACCTCATTGTTGTTTACTTACATAGTTTGCTTTCAGGGTTTACGCTATTCACAACCTCCTAGTTTATACATTCTTTCTTAATTATATTAAACATCACAGTCACTGCTTTTTCTCCAAAGATATGCCAATAGATTAATCAATTAGTCTCACTAAAATCATCGTTGAAATTATAAAATCCACATGAGAAATAAAGAAACGCTTGTCATATCGTCTAGCTTGTTCATTCTCACACCTTTATGGAGTCTAAGAGAATTTAGAAATTCTACATGTTCATAGAAGAAAAATGGAAACAAAACATGTTAAACAATGTGACATATATTAGTCTAGTTTTGGTGGAAACCATTATCGGGCAGTGAAAGTTTCGGATCCACCTGTCTTGTACTCTTCATCGTCCATGCATTTTATTCCAACGTCGTGGTTCCCTAAGTAATATCTACAGTATGGGCATTGGTCATATAATCAAGAAGCTGGGAGACAAAAAGAGGTTCAGCTTTGGAGACAAAAATGCGAATACCTCCAAAGTCTTTAGTATAGAGAGCATTTCCTTCTTTGTCTAGCCTCAACACATGGAAATGGTCCCAATCCACTTTCCCTTTCCTACAAGGTTTGCTATTTGTGAACCATTTCACCATAAAATTAAAGTCTCACTTGCGTGTGATGACTCCACCAAGTAGTGTTGTATCTTGCTATGCGAATCGAACAGCTTTACTAACATTTTTTCACTATTTTCGGCAAACTCACCCAAACTCTTACAGTTTTCCGGTTAAATTTTTAATTTTAGTGAAAATAAAACAAAGAAAAAATATAAAAGATGTGTCATGGAGTTATTTGATTTTATTTATCGAATTTTTTTTATTTATATATATATCACTCTAAATGATGAAAAAGAAAATAAAAAAATATTAAAAAAAGTTTTAAAAGTTTTTGGTATCCCCTATTTATGTTACATATGTTGGCCATTTAGATAACTAAATTAATATCATTCCACTTTTTTTTTTTTTGACAGCAAAATAAGTTCATCCATTCAAATTAGAAACGGACGGTCCGCTACAGAAGAGCTTACATGGGAAAAGATAATTCAACTTCCTTTTAAACTCCATTTTGAAATAAAATTATCATAAATCATATCAACACTAAATCTCTACTCGGTTTTATGTTCCAACACACCTATTTCTCCAATTGTTCTAGCTTCTAAGGATGAAAGTCACAATTTGGTAGCAATTTTTTTTATGTGTTTCTGACTAATGAACTAAATGGTATAGGGATTTGGGATATAAAATAACATGATTTTAATCTAGTCCTTGTCTTTATTGACATTTATGACATATCTAGAATGCAAATAGTAACTCCCATCCTTATCAATTACACTCCAAATTTATTATCATTTTAAAATTTTCATTTCCTAGTAATCATTCTAAAAAAAGAAAAAATATCATTGGTTAAATTTTCCCTAGTTCCTCTTCAAATGCATATAAGTTTAAGAGTTTTAGTGCATTGGTTCTTTTGAAATACGTAATTTAAAACCATGTACAATAACCTGATTTTGATAAGTTTACTTATAAAAAATAATATAAAATTATATTCAAAGCGACACTTATAATGTAACCGGATCCTACAACCTTCACTGTCCAGGTTTCATACAAACAAGTAACAACATTGTTCTTGGAGACACCATTACTCCCGTCTCTACATTCGAAGGAAAACAATTTGAGATCACCATATTAGTATGGAAGGTTAGTTAGGTTACTGTTAAAAAACTTATATTTTTACATAATGAGTTTTAAATTTCCAAACTAAAAGTTAAATATCATCGTTGATAAATAAATATGTATAGGATCAGCAGTCCGGAAACTAGTGGCTGAGTTTGGGATCCAAGCATTCATTGATAGGATATTGGCCAGCTGCAATTTTCCAAAAGTTAGCTTATGCAGACGAGTGCAATGGGGTGTTGAGTTCGTGAATTCGCAAAGTTTTGGCCGACACACGACAACACAGATGGGATCTGGTCGTTTCTCCGACGAAGGCTTCAGCAAAGTTAGCTACTTTCACAACTTGGAGATCGTAGATAACAACATATTCAAGTCCGTTTAAGACACACCAGTAAAAGTAGACGACCCTAAGTTCTACAACATCAGAGCCATGTTTAGAGATGATTGGTTACATATTTTATGGAGGGCCAGGCCGTATGCATTCATGAGTCTTAAACCATATACACACCAAATCTCTACTCATTTTTTATGTTCCAACACACTTATTTCTCCAATTTCTCTAGTTTTTAAGGATGAAAGTCACAATATGGTAGCAATTTTTCTGTGTTTTTGACTAATAAACTAAGAAAAAAATAAAACAATCGATAAAAATTAAAAAAAAGTAAGCAAAACATAAGCAAAACATGAGCATAATATTGTATAAGCAACAATAAAAAGAAAGACAAAAGTAGAAGTTATAAAATAAACCTAAGATATTAAAAAAAAAAGAGTAAACAAAAAATGCATGAATGTTTTTAAAATATAAAATTTTATGGTAATTATTAAAAATATTGATAAATTATGCATCCTTAGGAAAAATAGTTACCTACTAAATATCTTGTTTTATATAGCTTATAAATATAACTATGTGAATAGCGCTAATTAAAATAGAGATTAGTATATTTGATACATCCTTTGAAAAAATATTTACCTACTAAGACCATGTACATGAGTGATATTTTTAGAGTATCACAAGCGCAAAAATTATTTTTATATGGACAAAACAATTAGAATGGGCCTGATCCGTATCAGCCCAATGATATTTTTGATACTAGTATCTGTTAGATTATGGAGCTTTAGGTTTCGATGGGACAAGAAGATAATCGGAAAAGATGAGAACTTGATCGGAAAAGTGTAAACGAAAGAGAGAGTAAAGAGATTTGAGAGATGGGAAAGATTATTTCTCTTTCTTACTAAAATTGGTAAATACAAAGGTTCCTTTTTAAGGACAAAGCAAAAGGAATATCCCTTAGGATATTCACTATGTACAACGGTCATGAGCTAGAAAACGCGTCATAAAGGTGGTCATAAAGCGTTTCTTGTCTTCTTCTTCCTTTGAACGAGCAACGGCTCTCTTGGAAGGGTCTAGAGTCTTCTAGAACCTTGGTGAAGCTTTGGATAAGCTTAGGAAGGCTGGGGAAGGATCCGGAGGCTTCTAGAAGCATCTTGGAGAGGATCCAAGGCTAAATGGCCGAGAGAAAATGTTGTGGGTCGAGACAAAACTTCAATGGTACGGACGGACCAAAAGTTGGCCGTACGGGCGAGGACCTTCAATCGGTTGTGCAACCGATCGGCATAACCGATCGATAGTGTAACGAGGCTTCGATCAGTTGTGCAACCGATTGACACAACCGTGCGGCAAAACCTTAGCTGACCCGATCGTTTATGCAACCGATCGGCAAGACCGATTGGAAGACTAGTGATCCATTTCTTCCTTTTCTTCTCTTGATTCAATACTCCCCCTCAAGTCTAACCGGAGAAAGATGGAGGTTAGACTTGGATCCAAATTCAACCACCTCATTAAAAACCTAAGTGTAGAAAACCTCATGGGATAAAACCACACTTAGGGAAAAAGAGTATGGGATATTTGGCTAAGGGGATTGTGGCTGAGTTAAGTCAACAAGACCTAACTTTTGGTGAATGTATTCACACACCTTGGTGCTAGCTCCTTTGGTGAAGATGTCAGCCAATTGTTCTTCACTTTCGGTATAATGTGGCAAGATCACTCCAAGTTGGATTTGCTCTCGTGCTTTGTGGCAATCGACTTCAATGTGCTTCGTTCTCTCATGAAACACCGAGTTGGTTGCTATGTGAATGGCGGCTTGGTTGTCACAATGCATGGTGATTGGTTGGGGCGTGTCTATACCAAAGTCTTTGAGGAGAGCCTTTCGCCACATTAGCTCCGTAGTAAGCTTTCTCATGGCCCGGTACTCAGCTTCGGCACTTGAAAGAGACACCACCTTTTGCTTCTTGCTTCTCCAAGTCACTAGATTTCCACCAATGAAAGTACAATAGCCGGTTGTTGATCTTCTATCATTCTTGTCTCCGGCGTAATCAGCATCACAATACCCAACAAGCTCCGTGTTCCTATTGCATCCCATCCAAATGCCTTGACCCGGAGCGCCTTTGAGATACTTGAGGATGCGGTTCACCATATTCCAATGGTGTTGAGTTGGAGCTTGCATTTGTTGGCTCACTACATTCACGGCAAAGCAAATATCAGGCCTAGTGATGGTTAAATAGATGAGCTTACCTACTAGCCTCCGATACTTGGTAGGATCTTCGAAAGGCTTGTTATCATGCTCCCCCTTTCGTCTAGCTTTGTAGTCATCTTCCAAGGGAGTCTTTGCTGGTTTAGCGCCAAGCTTACCTACTTCATCAAGAAGATCAAGAGTATACTTTCGTTGAGATAAGAAGAGACCCTCCTTTGATCTACATACTTCTATCCCAAGAAAGTATTTTAGTTCTCCAAGATCTTTAATATCAAAGACACTTTTAAGGAAATCTTTAGTATCTTGAATACCAACCTTGTCATTCCCGGAGATGATAATATCATCTACATAAACGAGAATGACTACTATACCTTCTTGGCTAGGGAGAGTGAAGAGTGTATGGTCAGCTTCGGATCTCTTGAATCCTCTTCCTAGAAGTGTGGTGCTAAGCTTGTGATACCAAGCTCTCGGAGATTGCTTAAGGCCATAGATTGCTTTGTTGAGCTTAAGAACTTTCCCGGGTGCTTCTTTATCTTCTAGGCCCGGTGGTGGTCTCATATACACTTCTTCCTCTAATTCTCCTTGAAGGAATGCATTCTTGACATCCATTTGCCAAAGATCCCATTCCAAGTTAGTAGCCAATGAAAGAACCACTCGAACCGTGTGAAGTTTGGCCACCGGGGCGAAAGTATCAAGGTAGTCTTCTCCATATTTTTGGGTAAAGCCTCTTGCTACAAGTCTAGCCTTGTACCTGTCAATTTCTCCGTCACTCTTATACTTGATGGTGAATACCCATTTAGAGGTCACGGCTTTCCTTCCTCTAGGTAGATCCTTTTCATCCCATGT